TGGCGCACCACTCAACTCTGCTCATTACAATATGCATTGTATTTTATGTAGTGAATACTGACTGACCCCAAGCTGCAGAGCAGTTGAAACTGACACATCATTTTATGAAATTTCAGTGTTTTATACTGTGAATAGCATTTTTCATTTTTTAAATGTATTATTTTTTTACAGCTGTGACCCAGAGCGTCTCTCCAGCCTGAAGATTAACTCCTGATCCCACAAGCTTTTCTGTTCCTGTGTAAAAGCAGCCATAATGGACAAAAGAGATCATATGACATTTTGATATCTGATACTCAGTTGGAACCATAGATTTGTACATGATGTGTAACAGTAAAAACAGTGATTTTAATGAACAAGATCTTGTTGTACCTACATCATTAATCATAAAAAGTACATCATGTTTAATAATTTTTTTAAACAAATTCTCCATTAAAAATAGATTTCTGTACAAAAATTGTTTTTCTTTTGCACCTACTTCAAGTTCAGCAGCACACAATGATGATGATGATGATGATGGTGGTGATGGCGATTATGATGCTTAAAACAATAACATTAACAGTGATGGTAACTTCCTGGCTAGGATGCAATTTTTGAGTGCATCTCTGTGCCATTTGAGACAACAAAAATTAAACATATTATTCAGTAGACGTTAAAGCAAAAAACAGCCATTTACTATATGTTAATATTTGCTGCTGACTATGCATCCTGTCACTGTAACATGTGAATATAGCACTAATATATGTGATGTCCCAAGCTACAAGCCACCAGGTGCTGAAACTATTATCCATCCTTTGTACTGAAGGGTGAAGCAAGGCTGCAGGTAACTCAATTCAAACACACCAGGTTGTAGATTTTCTTCAGAGCTCTAATGCTGAATGTAAAGCATGAGAAGTTTGTCCTGCTCAAACTTGCTGAGAAGGTGAAATCCTGTCATTGGCAAATTAACAGCAATATTGAATACTGCACCAAAAACTCAAACCAAAAAAACCCCCACATATACTGTATGCAGTGTATGTTTGAATGTGCATGAAAGCAGACAAGGATTGTCCAAGAAAAGTACAGGCACACACACGGTAAACTCTGATCCACATCTGGTAATAAAATTCCAGCACAGACAGAAATGCATCTAAAGGTCAGTATGGCTCCTGAACACGTCTGAAACGTCAAGCTGAATGGAAACTGGATTTTCTACACTAGAAGAATAGTTCATCACTCTGCAGTCATCTCTGGATGTACCGGCATCAGTGACTCTCACACATCATTCCCATGTAATTTCAAAACACATCTGCATTGAATCTGTTCTGTAGCTCATACTTGCTGGCAAAAGGCTCACTTCTGTATGTTAAACTGTGTGAAAAGGCAATGTGTGACATTTACAATTAGTTTTTTTTTTTCAATGATGATTGCTGATAAAATCAACTTCAGAGAAAGTAAAGGACAAGTGCACAACCTTCTTCCCAAACCGTGAAAAGTTGCAGCTGAAAAGGCAGAAGAAACTATGGTATTTTAGAGTTTAGTGGGTGCTTTCATTTTTGAACTTGTAGCCAGCTGTTGCTCTTTTAAACAGTGACTGACAACTTTCACAACAAATTGTGAAAAAGTCTTGGGTGAATGGAAAATTATTAAAAACTTCAGTGCATCTCAGAGAAGGGATGTGTGGTGTTTTGAACAACACATACAGTATCTCATCTTAAATCAAACTGCACGAGAAAGCTAACTGCTATACATTTTAGTGGACACAAGCAAACGTTTCCATAAATGTAAACAAATACTTAACTGACAGAGATAGTATATCTGAATGAGCCAAAGTTAGGTTAGCCTTCGGCTGATAAAATGAGTACACCTACTACTACTACACCACTACGAGTGAAATCAGCCACTGAAAGAAACAAGTATCACAATGGTAGGTGACATCTGCAACTACGCAGCTGGTTACTATGGGGAACATTAGTGTTAGTGGGGGAAAAAACTGAACTCCTAAAATGAAAGTTTTTAAGTGTTGGCACTAATAAAGTCATAAAATGGAGCTCACCCAGCATCCTCTATGCTGTAACCTTTAAGGATCTGCACAAATATTTGCTTTGTATTTGGCTGTGGGTACTAAGGATCTGAAACCTAACCTCTGATCTTTGCATGCCAGAACAAACAGGGCCACCGCCGAGTCTACATTTTCTTGTTCAGGCACACTGGGAGATCAGATCTGTGCCATTAATTGTTAAAAATTAGACCTTTTATCATGCCTGCAGAAACCTTGCAGCCTTTAATTTTCATGCCTTATTATGCACTCTTGACTCCATAGGAAATCTCAACTGAATTAATTAAATCAATTAAAATAGAGGCAGTGGGAGCACTCCAGCGATAAAAAGAGAGGAGGCAGGCTCATAAGCAGGCGTTCCACTGTTGTTTACAGATGTCTTGTTTATTCCTGTGAAGAGATTTTGTATGTGCATCATCTGTCTTGTTGCACTCTTTACTGCCAGTATTTTAGCTACTACACACGCTTATCTTCACCGTCTGGTGGATGTCTTTCTCGCTGTCTGACCCCAGCCCTGATGCAGAGACTGTGTACTGTATGAGAGGCTGACAATGGGTTTCATATACTAACAATATCCTGCAGTTATTCCTCCCAACATAATCACCATTGTTTCAAGGCATTTAATTTGAAACATCCAGGTCTGGAATCGATTCTCTTCAATTAAATGCAATGAAAATGTAAATAGAAACAGCTTGGTTTATTGCTAGTTAATTTGCTTCCTCTTATTTCAAAATATGTGGGTGTGACAAGCCGCTCATGCTAATTTTTTTTTTTTTTTTCAGTATTTAAGTTCTGGGGAAAATCCATTCTCTGATTTCAGTGAGTTCAGTCTTGCACTGGAATATAAAACTGTAATATAAAGTGTGTTTCATGGACAAAATCATTATTTTGCTAGCTGTATGTTTTCATTATCTGGCTCTCACACATTCTACTCACCATTTAATATCATATATGTACTGTAAATTAACAGATTCATTGTTATTGTAGTATATGACAGTGACAGACAAAGGCTGAATGACTGAAAACATGGGAAGCATAAAAGAAAAGCAATTTGGAAAATGAAAGACATGCAGGTTAAAGCAAATGCCTGAGGTGTAAACTTAATGCCAGAATGTCATGTGTGGAAATAAACAGGAAACAAGCCTGAAGACACCGAAAGACACACAGTGAAAGCATCTGTGATCTAAAACTAAGTGCAGCATCTTTTGAAAAATAATAATATATGAGAGAACACTGCGAGAAATAACAAGCTTGGCAAGTGATATGAAACTAGTGGGATTTCCTAGGATCCTTCAGACACATGGTTATTAGCGCTGTTTGTCATTTTGACTTAAAACACCAGGAAATAGGCTGAATGAAAGGTTGCACTCGCTAAGCTTGCGTATTTGTTGCAGTGAGGATCCAGCATTGATAAGCAGGATGTAACTTACTCTCTGCACACGAGGTATTTCTCAAACGATAGAAGGGCTCAAGGATCGATAACTGTTGACAACACTATTTGTGCATGTTGCCTTTATACTGTGTCTGTTTGTCCTCTGCCTAAAATGACTGGTTCTCAAACGGATCACACATGTGCTGTGTGCTCTTTAAAAAGGTGTGTTGGAAAAGATCGTGTGCATCAGATATGCAAAATGCGCTGAGTTGATGCATGATGGATCTCTTATTAACACCATGAGGCACCATTGAGCAAGTGACTTATAGACTCTTGGTCAAGGGCACCTCCACCTGCTCCAGTGTAAATGTGAGAAACGGTGAGAGTGAGGTCAGGGCGTTCCTACAAAAGAGATCTTGGATCTCAGTGAAACGTCCCCAAATAAATAAGGGTTAAAAATGTTAATGTGAGTAGTAAGGGGCATTTAGAGCACATCTTTTTAAAGAGAGTAAGAGAAACAGTTGCATATTGTTTCTGAAAGCTTATACTGTCTGCTACTACAGTATACGTAATTAACTGAAAAAAGTGATCCAAAATTTGGATTCGAGTTCATATTTAAGTAAAGTATCCCCAACTGTTTATTATTAGTATACCAAAGGAATGCAGTATCTCAAAATGATGCAATTTAGATGCCTATAAGTACAATTAGTGCAGTACCAGTGTTTCAGTGGGATCACTCAGCATATTATGATCTAGAGCTTTTCTGTGTATTTCTTCCACATGTTACAGTAGAAATCATATTCAGTATGAGCTTTCAGAAACACACACTGTTGGTGCCGTTATGTGACACTATGTCTACAGGTGAACTGATCTCAAGTTTCTGGTTGGCTAGCATGTTGTCATGGTAACTAAAGAAACAGTATAGCATGTGGTCACACCTTCCGCTAACAGAAAGTGTGAAATATAAATGTGTATATACAAACACTCTGTAACCCTGTATTTAGTCATTTTGTCATCTTTTAAAGATAGAAGTTTTTCAATAAAATTCTCTTTTTTGAATGACTCATTTTTCAAACCCATTTCAGACCCAAAAATTATTCATTTTTCATAACCCAGTCAGAAAAACACACTAGTGCAAAATTTGTGCGGTTTAAGAGTTTATATCAAGTTTATATTGTATTTTAGATTCCCCAGCAGCAGTGGTATGGGAAGTCCCATGGGGCCACTGGGTCTTTGAACATAAAGTCTGTTCATCAATATCTTCACTGAAGAAAAATGCCAGAAGAGACAATTAGAGACAACTATT